AATATATGTGTTCAGTAATGTAATTAGTGCTTGTAACTCACTTTAAACTATTAAATTATAATTCATATGCCCAAATTTCAGATACATTAAAATTGGTCTGATTAATTGGGCAAACATATTTAAACATAAAAAAGGTGATACCATTTTATGACTTAAAAAAGTATCGTAAATTATGCCTTCATTGCATTATATTTAGCATTGAATGGTTCAATTTGAATTTTTTAGTTGCAGTAAAAAATTTCAAAGATTAAAAAAATTACTATAATATTATTCATTCATCATGGCTTTAGTTTTCATCATTTACATCTACATCCCACTAGTGAGTGTTATCTCATTCACCCTGATTGATGGCATGACTTACATGTACATCTGTACACACATGTAAACAAAAGTAAAACATCTCCATGGAAGATCTGTTATGGTTTTTGAAACATGGATTAAATCTAGCTACATTGCGATACTATCTTTGTGTATTTTTGGATAATTCGTTCCATTTCCTAGTTTGTTGTAATTTTAACTATGATTTTGTAACCCTTAAAAATACTTTAAAGCGGGGTGTCATCACCTGCATATGCGTCAGATGGCCATAGCGTGTCACTGTTTACAAACAAGCGTCTACCCACGAGACTTTGCATTTTTAGAGTGTTTTTATCGTCGCTTGGGACTCAATTCCCGCACGTGCGCAGGTGACGATCCTCTCGCTTTAATGGGTGGAGTTAGAAATGTCTACACAAGTATAGTAGCATGCACAGAACCAAAGCGAACAACTTCCGGACACATTTGTGTGGTTCTGATTTGAAAAATGTACCTCATAGTGCCTGGTACACAATTCTGAGAAATTTTACTGATATAAGATAAACTGAAATTATATAAATATTGTTAATAAAATTATAATACATATCCTACCAGTTGCAAATACAAAAGCAGGTACGCTTTGAAATCTCACAGAGCCACTCTTCCCGTTCTTGTATTCTACAAGCGCCTTCACCAGTCCACAAGGACATTCAATATTGACTTTCGTTTCTGGTTCAGTGGGCCTAACATATCCATAATCCGTCGCATATCTTCCAAGTGCTATTACGGCGTGTCCACACATGGTACTGTAACTCCTGTTATCCATGAAGAGAACTGCAATATCGGCGTCTTCTATATCAGGCTCGACGAGAAGCGCACCGTACATGTCATAGTGACCTCTCGGTTCGTGCATCAACAATTTCCGGAAATTGTCAAGCTTTTCTTTAACAAACCTTCGTTTCTGTAGAATTGTTTTCCCGTCAGGCTTGGGAAATCCATCCGTGACGATTCTTAGCGGTTCACCACCAGTATGCATCTCTACTGTGTTAATATTCATGCCGCAATATCTCTCCATGGTGACGCCAGTACGTTGACGACTGTAGATCACTCGTACCTAAATGCCGCTCAACCACGTTCGCTAAACCGGGCTAAACCACTTTCACCCGGTTTGTATTGACACGTGAGAAGGGAAAGATGGCGGAATATCCATAAAGACCCAAAGCGCCCCTGGGGTGAACAATTTGAAACCATTGGAGGGGTGGCTAGAGAGTGTGACGACTACATTTTTTTGCGGGGTCTTATATGTATGTTTTGTTTTTCTTCAATTTGATCTGCAATTATTTTTTTATATCTCGGTGTTTAGCTTGCATATTTTTTTTTCATCAAAACCACCCATCATCTCTTCAAATGGTCGATTCCAAGTTGCCTCACTAATACAAAAGCGTAAGCAGTCCTGGTCGGCCCACCAGTCATAATATAATAAGATTTTTTGAGCCAATTTATTAAATATTGACAAAAATACGTTGTTGTTAAATATTTGTTTTCAATCCAAAAGCATTTTTTCACGCCGATCGTAACCTAATATAACGTGGAATGAAAATGAAGCCATTCACACAAACAATAACAATAAAGTTGACCTTCTTTTTCGTCGTTTTGAATGAACCATTTTACAGGAGCGATAGTGCAAGTTGAATACCTCCATGAATAGTGTTAACTGCTCATACCAATGACTCACTGCACCACTAGGAATGTGTTGTTAAAAATTGTGGTTCAAATGTAACACCTCTCGCTGTGTGAATTTAACTTTGAAGTGACTGATCAACTGTCCTTTCTGACCACATACCTTAGACAGTAAGGACGTGGCAACTCCTGTCTCAAATCTAAATTCCCGTTTACGCCGTACAACGAATACAATGTGCCAATATTTATAGTTGTGACAGTATAACGGGTAAATGTAATGTTCTAAAGATGACGATAAATCATGATAATGATAGGTCGGGATTTACCTATTAGGCAGTTCAGTTTCTTGAAAAAAATAACATTTTTTGTTACCCTTTCCTGTTTTCATAATGAAATATTTTTTTTTTTTATAAATGTAGTGCGTCGCGCACCTCGAACTGGTTTCACCTAGCTGTTACCGGTTCTTTGTTTTGATATTCGTTTGTTCTTTTTACCAAACGCTTCAGCGTGGTTTGTTTTCAGGGGTGAGTGATACCAAGGTGGGAAATGGATGCACATATGGGGTTAATTCCTTGAATTGCAATATAGAGGGTTCAGGCTGAAATACAATATATAGTGTTTTCATGTTTCGTCTGATATTTCTGTGGTATTCTGCTGCTGTAAGTAATGCACGATTTGTTCCGAAATTCAGTATATTGTGTGTATTCCATGGTTATTCGTTTTTTGCTGAAAACACCCCTATTTTTTAATGGCAGAGTCGAATAGTTTCACTCCCACTGGGAAATCTGCATTGTTGCTTGAATGAGAGCTAATTAAACACATTTTCCAGACCGGCGAAAGAGTATGCAACAGCCAATTTTAACAGCCTGTCACATGATTTTACTCTGAATGTCAACATGAAAAGAGGCTAGTCCATTTTACGCAGGAGTAATTGGGAGTAGAATATGTGAGGGATAGTATCAACAGAGATGTGTATAGTGAAAAGTAATATCTATCCTTCTTTTGCATCTCTGAGCATTTCTGTTTTTGTATATTGGTTTGAAAATCCTGAACTTGTATGAACGGCACACCACGTGATTCGTTTGAATACAATGCTGAAGGCAAACATGCCGTGATACAGCGGTACTCCACTGACGGGATGACTTACTAGTACTGCATGCTACAACTTCGCTTGTGATGTTGCTTGTTAGCCATGGATTAAATGAATCTTGATTACCAGTTAAAATGTTGCACATTTGGCGTTGGTAATCTTTATTTGGAACTGGGTAACGCCGCAACGTCGCCAGCAGAAACCTCCTGGTACTTGTACTATGATAAAACTCAGTCAACATACATCAAGTTCTCTCAATCGTAGTATTCCATGTGATGTACACCTAATATGCCAAAAATGTTGCTGAACGATTTGAACTGGATAAAAATACTTTGGTTGCCATTGAAAACAAGCCGGTAAAAAACAAGCAATATGTTTTCGGCTGTTACCATGGTAGGACATGAACATGAAGCTAACCTATACGAGGTTCGCAAAATAACATTCAGTCTTTAGAAGTCACTTTATTTTATTGCTAGGACGTATTCAGCTGTTAAATATATTATTTCCAACCGTTTTGCGATAGTATTTTCTAGATTGGAGGCAGCATTTACATTTTATTCAAAGTTCAAAGTTGTGTTGGGATTACGTTGACAGTGTAACAATGTGGGGCGAAAGTATTCAAAAAACAGATTTGGCTTTGCCATGGTAGCGGTGGGTCAATTTTCAGGATTTATTGGCACATGATGTCATGAATAAGAGAAACTAATGACCAAAAATAAATATTGCATCGTATATAAATGATGACAGCGATTTACTAGGCCTATGGCCTGCGAACTCATATGATGTGTGTGCACGGTGCGACTAGTAACAATTACCTAACCTACCGGTCCTTCACGGCCACAGTTGTCGCGATGCATCTCAATAAAATAGCATCTAAAACCAATTAAGGCCGATATGTGTAAAAACTTGTACATTAATAGTCTAGTCTATGCAACCAGCAATAATGACATGCAAGAATGGCATTGGCAAAATGATGACCTCAGATGTCACGGCCATGTCTAGGGGCATGGATATGATTTATAGTCTTTGCCCATAATGTAATGTTATAATGTATATGAAGTATGTGATCATGATTAATCTTCATGATCATTTGCATTTGATTCACCACATTGGCATGCCTGGCTGTATTCATTCTTACTTTTTCATGATCATTGTTTGGTTCACTACAAGTTTCTTGTGATTTAGGTGGATTTTTGTCACATGCAAGAAACAGCAAGAGCTGCAATGTGTACATCAGAGGGCTTTTATCATGCTTGTGATGTTGCTACTGTAGGTAAATGGCCACAGCAGTAATGTACATAACTGTCATTTATT